AGTTTTATAATATCACTTAATGCCGAATATATCCTTTTCTGTATAAAGATTTATATTTAACGTTCAGAAACAATAATTTATTAGCTTTGAACTATTATTATATATACGTATAATATATAACACTTGATAAATAATATATATGTTATTTATCAAGTCAACATTAATAGTTCTTGCAATAATAATAACTGCAAGAATTTTCCAGATAACCCGATAATATAAGTTTTTACTAAGTTTTTTCTAAATCAGTCTTTTGACATAGTAGATCCTGAAGGCTACCCATTTCAGAAACTGCTCACCAAACATTTTAACACTAAATTTATTGTATTATCGCAATTTCATATTGCGACTTCTTATATTCGTAATATAGCCTATATTTGTATTTCTAATGTATACTTGTATTTTTAATTTAATTTAAAACTGATCAATTGGAAAAATTATGATGGTACAGATCGTTTATTACATCAATCTTTAAGCAATTTTGTATAAGATATAATGCAATCATCAAAATATTTTATATTAAAATTTGAAATAATATTAAATTTAGGTATATGTTAAAGAATTTATGGAAAATATCTTAAAATAATAGTTTAATATGTTTTCATTTTTCCAAAAATCTCGCAACATCATCAGAAACTATCCCAGGTATTTTCCTATCTTAAAAATAGTCTCAGAACATTAACAATCTTTTAATCAATTTTTTAAATGATCTGTACAGTAAGTCTACCATTTAAAATTTATATTAAATAATAATATAGTATTAAAAACATATCAGTTATATAATATTTTTATAACTTATATCATTTAATAATAATGATTATTAATAATTTCAATGTTCTTAAGAATAAATATAAGCCATTATTTTCGTTCTATTGTATACAAACACATTCATTTTTAATATTATTTTGTATGAATAATTCATGAAACCTCATTAGACGGAAATTAAAACTAAACCAAAGTTATGATCATGCATACAGAATCAAATAATTTCGATTTTATGTCCTGTTTAAAAAAGAAAACCCGGACAATCAAAAACTGAAAACACGTATTATGTCGAGTAGCCTATTCGAATAATTATGACGTCAGCAGATTATTTGGTGTCGAATGGTATATAAATGGCCGCTAATTGCGGTAAAAATTAAAAAGCAATACATTGATGTACCGTATCAAGTAAGTAATTTTTTAGTTACGTTTTCAGTGTTAAGCGGCTGATGTTATTAGATTAAGTGATAGATACTTTACCCGTAATGTAGGAATCTATTGTATTTTATAATAAACCATAATCTAACATTTAATGAAAATGTTTGGTTTATTATCACTTTTCAGTATTTTTCTGTGAGTAGTTTTAAAACTCCTTCCTCCTTGTGGGCAGTAAAAGTGCTTTTTGTATTGTTCAATATAGATTTGTGGTTGGTTTGATGAAATTGGCCAACGCAACATACGGGAGATCTTCTAGGGGCTTATGCCTCCCAGGAAGACTTTCTATGTGAATTTGGCCTGTAGTTAGACACGTAAAGGACACCTGGAAATTTCCAGTGCTCAGCTCGTTGATGAGGCGTGAATCCACGACCCCATGACCAACTACAGTACCATATTCAGTGGTTTTATCCACTCGACCACTGGTAGGCAAGAATCGGATTGAATTTCTATTTCAAATCCTAAAAGCATTAGGATGTTTGGTTTCTGTGTAATATTTTATAATGTTAAATGATGCTTACATATAATGTGTATATACAGGACATATACGGGTTTTGCATAGGTTGTATATATCCTATGTAATATCAACGTTATAAATAATTAGTTTTTAAATATGTATTTTATAATCACATGCAAAATTCTGCAATTAAGTGCAAAGATTAGAGAATTTATACGTGAATAAGGAAATTTAAAATAGTCGAAAACGAATTTTCTGAAATCTTGATTTGTTTCATAACATGAATAACATAATAATAATTCATACAATTTTAAGTTAATTTAACTTTTTTATTTACTTCTTGAACATTGTTAAATTTTTCTTTACTTATTAGGAAAATAAATGAGGGAAAATATTGTTTAAAAACTGAATTAGAGCATAGACATTAATTCTGTCTACAATTATTGAATTTTCGAGCATTTGAATATCATCTTCGAATTAGAAAAGACAGTAATATATCAATATATTAAATATGGTAAAGTACATATAACATATAATAATAATAAGTCATTAAATAATCGATATTGTGAATATTATATATTAATATGTAAGAATCCAGAAGTTTTTCCTGCGTATTCTGTCACGGATATGGCGGGCCCTTCCTCCCTCTCTCCGTTATAGAGCGAACTAATGAAGGATACGATTAAAAGACCCCCCTTTATGTGTGGAAAGAGAGATTATTAATCTTACAGGACACGTAAGAATGAATATAGAAGAAATGTACATAAAATCGAGAAAGAAAGCTAAATATATTAGACATACGAATTTAAAGTAGAACGAGTACGTGTAATCAAGGTGGGCAAATTATGACTCGTGAGCTCATTCGGTTCTTCTATTCGTTCACTGAGACTCCCTTGTATTTATACATTTTTTATAAATTTGGGGCATACTACTTACATATAGAAACTTATAAAAATATATTACAAGACTATTATGTAGTGCGATACACGCGGTTTGTAAGTGTAACTCGAAGGAGAATAAACGAATGTTTATCTATAAGAATATAGGCTATCATATGAATTATTTTAAAGAATTTTATCCCATTTGCAGTAATGATTTAACTCAATAATCTAAGTAGAATGAAACATCGAATTTTTTTGTACTTTTTTTTATTTATTTACATTTATTTTATAAAAGCATTACCACAGCTAAAAAATAAAATCGGAATTTTTAAAATTAATTAATTATTATTATTTATTTTTTAAAATTATCCATTAAATTATTTTTAAAATTTATTGAAAAAAATCACAATGTTTTTGAAAATTAAATTAAAATCTTAAAAAAATTTGGAAAATTATTATACAATTTACCATTAATTTTATCAATTAATGACAAATTATTCCTTTTAAATGGTTATAATTTGCCATTTTAATTATTTTTCATTTTTTAAAAATAAAAGTTTTGATATACAATTTTTTTTTCTTAATTTTGAAAAGACCTAATTTATTAATCAGAAATATCTTAATATTCTATTTCCCATGCTTTAATGATAATAAAAAATATTGTTTTTTTTTTGTTAGTTTTGGCTACAGAAAATTATACACACTGAGAAATTAATTATATTCCATATTTATTCAATAAAAATGAGTACAAAATTTTTAAAAAATGTAGAAAGATGTGGCAGAAGATTCCATATGAAATACAGTATTGAAATAAAATGCTATTAAAATGCAAATACATTGGTGCCTCGTATAACGTACTTAATCTGTTCCAGGTGGACGTCCGTTAAGTGAAAAATCCGTTATACGAAACGCATTTTCCCATAGAAATATATGTTAAAACATATAATTCGTTTCGCAGCATAAAACAACCGTACTGTACCATAAAAAAATGAAAATGGAGCAGTCACCAATTATGCCGGGTAGTCAGATGTTGTGAGGAGGAGGAGGAGGAACACTTTCTTCACACATTCGTACAGATACAGACCTTTTACACATTGCAGCAAGTTTCTTTTTATTGTTTTTAATCGGAGTCAGATTCAGGAGACCTGAGCTTGTAGGGTCATCTCCTCTTGTGCCATCCTTTGTTTTTTGGCAGTTGGCTTCTAGAAAAACATGTCCAAGGTGGTCTGTTTCTCTCTCATCCAGTGGAGTAGCGTGGGTGTCAGCCGCCCGGGGCGGAGGAAAATTTCGCCGCCCCCTTAATTAAATGACTAAAATTCAGTTTCGTCACAGAAAAAGTAATGAAAACTTCCGTGCTCATTTCAATGTCCGAATCCTAGGTGCGACAAAAATATGAAATGAAATGGTTTACATTTTTACAAGATATTATTATTATTTATAGTGAAATTTTGCCGCTCACTTAGATTTTACAAATACGTGAGCCGTTCAGAGCCCGGCACACGTATCTGTAAAATCTAAGTGACTCGTACAACATGGAATTCATATAAAACGGAATAATCAACAGTGTTATAGGGGGGGTCGAATGTATGTTCTATATTTAGCACTTTATTTAATTAAATTCTTTAATAATGCATTAATTTATTTGAATTGAATTATTCCTTTATTTTACTTTTATTCTTTATAAAGTTTTAATAAACTGGAAAATTTGTCAATTAGAAAAAGATCAGTTTGTATTGGCTTTGATGGGATAAGGTAACGCAATACATGGATGATATGCCAAGGAAGAGTGCTCAAAGGAAGACTTTCTGTAGGAAACTAGCTCCTATTTAGGTGTTGGACAAGTGAGGAAAACCCGAAAAACTCCACTGGCCAGCCCGTTGGTGAGGTGTACTACTTGTGTTTAGTGGTATATCCATGCTGTCACCTGAGGGCTTGTCTTTTACTGGCAATGTTTACGATCAATTACGTTGCACAAATTGAAATATTGAATATATTTAAAGTATAATGTACTGTACTGTACATACATATAGACCAAAACAGTTATTTTGAGCTAATTCAAAGTGAATAATAAAATATTTAAATTTGATATTAAGAATGAAAAGTAATTACGAAAAATAAGATAAATTAATAATAATGAAATTTAAGAGAAATGTCATATTGAAGATAATAATTAAAATGACATTATCTCATGGATAAAAGCAGCTGGAATAGCATCTGCTTAACCTTAACTTGCTTTTTTATCTCTAATACAGGAAAAAATTATTTCGTCTCTTTAGAAACAAAAATTCAATTAAAAAATTAAATATTGAACTCATAATTGTGCACAACCTTAAGCACATATACAAATAGAATTTATATCTAAATGCATTATGATAAAGTAAATTCAAGTAAAGTTATTTCCTTTAATTTCCTATGAGATGATTCATTCAAGGTTACTAATTTGTATTTATCTTTTATCTGATTTAAAGGCTGAGAAAATTGACATCGGCGATCAATGTTTTAATTATTTATTTATTTTCGAAATTCTATAAATTGCCAATACGATCCGTTGATAATTTAGCGATTTCAACTTCCTAGAGTGAATCGCCAAAACTTCAAGTAAGTGTTCAATTATACAATTTTCAAAATGGTAACGGAAATTATTATATTATAAAATATATTCTTCATTTTGCGTTTTTGTATCGAATTTAATTATAATTGGTAATTCTAAATTATTTGTATCTAATGTATAAAAGCGTTTTATAAAATCTAAAATCCAGTACAAAAACGTATGATTTATGAATAATAAAGTGTTAGCTTATTTTATATTCGTTCTTTTTTAATATTAGATAGTTTATAAATTGCATACTTTAAATTTTATGCTGAACTGCCGGATGATCGTGTAATTAAGGTGTCAGCCTATTGCTCTGAAAGACCCAAGAACGAATCCAGACGAATCGCAAAACCCTAGGAATTTCCGGGATTGCGGTTCGTCTCGGATACCATGGGTCCAGTCCCTCACCACTCGGCAGTCCCATTGTGGGTCTGGCCAAACCCATAATGGACTTAAGAAACTTTCTTAGTATCCACAGGGCGTATAGACAAAAACTCTATCGAGTTTTTCTGTAAATATTAATTAATTAACTTATAAACTAGACATATTATAAAAAAGGTATAAAGGAAAAAGAAAAATTACATTTTGTTTTCGATTTTTATAATTTAAAAATTTGAAATGTTATCAAACTAAAGTATAATTTTAAAATTTCCTATAACCATGTTAATTATTTTCCTTGTGCAAAAGCTAAGAATTTCGCTTTTATTTTCTAATTAAAAGGAAGTTATTAGCTCCTGAATTACCTGTTTTTATTATTATTATGCATTTGTACTATTATGGCGTTTATTAAAACAGACATTCATTACACAGCGTTGTAAACACTAAATAATTGAGATTGTAGTATTATGTTCTTTCCTATTTAAATCACGATTAAGATAATGCAATGCATTCAATTTTTAATATCGTAGTCTACTTTGAGGATAAAGTGATTTAAATAGGTAATTTATTTGAAATTCTTTGAATTTATTGAGTAAATGATATTAATAGCATGAAGAAAATTGAAAATGGAATAAGATCAAGGTATTTTTCATTTTGTTAAGTACAGAAAAACTACAAACTTCTAGTAAATGACTTTTCTCTTCGTACTTCATTACAAGTAATTAAGGTTAATGGCGAATTTATTATTACAGGAACTTGATTTATTTTTTTAAATACAAAATAAAATAACCGCTAAACAAGGGTGACCTCCGAACGACGGTCATTTTTTATGTTTTTGTCTTTGGCCGTCGTACGGAGGTTTGGCCGTAATAATTTTTTTTTTCAAAAGAATATAATGATTTTTTAAAATAAATTTTTATTACAGTATGTGGAAAATAATCTGCTTATTTGTTATTTTGGCCTTGACCATACAGACTGGAGATGCTAGCCGAGGTAGGTTTTTCAGATAGCACTAAATATTATATATGATATAAAACTTTGAAAGAATTTGTTGTATAATTATCTATTTTCACCATTTAGATACAAATAACAAGCCATACAGAGTAGTCTGTTATTTGGGCAGTTGGGCTAACTATCGATATGGAGAAGGAAAATTCTTGATTGAACATATTGATCCTTTCATCTGTACCCACGTAGTATATGGCTTTGCTAAACTCGGTCCCGATAACAGAATAGCTGCTTACGACCCATATTTGGATCTTAAGGAGAACTGGGGTCTAGGTGCTTTTCAAAGATTTAACGGATTAAAGAAGCAAAATCCTCATTTAACTACAATTTTGGCCATTGGTGGTTGGAATGAAGGATCAGTTAAATATTCGAATATGGCAGCTAATCCTGCATCTAGGAAAACATTTGTTGACAGTGTTGTCGAATTTCTAACGAAATATGACTTTGATGGTTTAGATATGGATTGGGAATATCCTGCTATGAGAGGAGGAAAACCAGAAGATAAAGAGAACTTCATACATTTATTAAGGGTTGGTATTTCGATTAATGTAAACTATAATCTTGAATAGTGCTAAGACTGTTTGATTTATAGGATCTAAAAGAAGGGTTCGAACCTCATGGTTTCATTTTGACTGCTGCAGTTTCTGCAGGAAAGCACACCATCGATCCTGCATATGACATCCCTCAAATGTCCAAGTAAATTTTACTTTCTTATAATTCTTTACTTTAGTAATTTTTAGCACTTTAAAATAATATTTTCATATAATGGTAAAAATTTGCATTATATTTAACTAGATATTTGGATTTCATTAATTTGATGGCTTACGATTTCCATGGTTCATGGGAAAACTTCGCTGGTCATAATGCTCCTCTGTACCCTCGTGAAGAAGAGTCAGAAGATCAGAAAGTACTGAATGTGGTATGTACAGTACACGAAACTAGATATTTTAAATTTGTATAATTGTGAAATATAAGTCTTAAATATTTTAATATAGGACTTCGCAGTTAATTATTGGTTGGATAAGGGATGCCCGAAAAACAAACTTGTGCTTGGAATGGCTTTGTATGGTCGATCTTTCACTCTAAAAGATGCTAACAACAACGGTCTAGATGCACCTGTCACCGGAAAAGGAATGGCAGGACCAATTACTAGGGAAGGAGGCATGTTGGGCTATAATGAGGTGCACAAAACGAATAATTATTTATATTTATATTTTCTATACGATTTATATTTATAATTATAAATATTTATATTTTCCATCAGATTCTTTAAGGTTTTATTCTTTTGTACAGATCTGCAAATTTGTTGGTAAAGAAAACTGGAAAGTTGAATGGGTTGAATCAATTAAATCTCCTTACGCCTACAAGGACAGACAATGGGTGGGATATGATGACCAGAAAAGCATTAAAATCAAAGTAAAAAACATTTAAAATAATTTATAGTTATTATAATTTATCATATGTGATTTGTTTAATGATAAAGGTTTTCTTTTAGGTTGACTACTTAAAAGAAAAAGGATTAGGAGGCGGTATGGTGTGGTCTATCGAAACAGATGATTTCCGAGGATTATGTCATGGTCATAAATATCCTCTTCTAACTATTATTCAAACTGAATTGAATGGCCCAATCACTCGACCAGAAGTAATCCCCGACGAAGACACAACAACAGTCAGAGGAAAAGTAACATTTCAACCAACCGAACCTCCCAAGCCTTTCGTTTCAACAACTGGCACTGGTTTAGAGCTGAAATGCGATAAACAAGGTTTCCACAGATATCCTGGTGACTGCTCCAAGTTTTATGAATGCATTCCTAGTGGAAGCAGTTTCAAAGTTATCACGTACGATTGCCCACCAGGAACCGCATTTGATATAAAAATCTCAGGATGTAACCATCCTAGTTCTGTCGAAGGTTGTTGATATGATATTTTCGATTAATAAAGTTTAATTTTGTGAACTACAGTTTGTTATTATTATACAATAATTTTGAGTCTTAAGTTTCTAAAACGAATGATAGTCTAATGTGATTTCCATGCATGCTAGGAAAGTAAGATAACTTAAAGAATAGAAATAAGTTAAAATAGTAATTTTTGTAATACTTTCTTAATATTACCGAGCAGTTAGTAACATTACACTTATTCTAGAGATAAAAAAAGCACAGTTTGGCAAAATTGTGAGTATATTTTTCAATTCTTTGACCGTATTTTAAATAGAATTTTATACGTCATTTACATTTGTAGACCATACGAATTTTTTTACTAATACTAAAAGTAATGTCTGTTGATGATACTTTTTTCTATGCAAGAACAGAATCTTATTTGCACATTTTACTATTAATATAATTTTAAAAAATGCAATTATTTTTACCGATTGTTGTATTGCCTTTATGCTTTTGTGCTTTGTAATTGCTTTTATTCACGTTGGACAATTACGAGCATTTTTAAACTGTTTCAGCTAATAGAATCATAATATCTTCTTTTCAATTATTTAGTAATTTATAAGCATTTTTCAAGAAGAAAATAAATAAAGAAAGATACATTAAAAACTGCTATCAATAAAAATAGAAATTGACAAACAGACATCACAATATTAATGAATTCGATCTCGTCTAAAGACTTTATTTTTTAAAAGAATATATTTGCATGTATGAAACTGCCAAACAAATTGGCTAATTTTATACACGCAAATAGACATTTTGAGATTAACAAAGATTAATCGATGGTAAGACAGAATAGATGGTGTTTTATGAGAATCGATAGCTATACTTTGAACTTCAAAGAACCTAAAATCTTTAAAATATTTGAGATTTCTGATGTTTTTTGTTTGATATCAAACACAAAGTTTCTTTTTGACTGTAAAAATTTTTTTCTATACGGATTCTTATTGTATTCAAAGATTTTATGCCAATGGCTGAATGAATCAAAGTACCTTTCGCAGTCTCAACGACTGCTTCATCTGACAGGATCTTATTCGTTATTACGTTAAAGTCCACGTTGTTAAAATCTTCAACAAAATTGTCATTAGCATTAATATGCTCTAGCACAGGGCTTCTTAAACTTTTTTTATTCACGACCCCATTTATGATTGTGATTTTTTTTCGCGACCCAAAAATATAAAAGAAAGATATATACAAATTCGCAAAAACAATGGTGTGCTACCACAGTTCACTCTTGTGTTACAATGGAACAGAGACAACTGAATACGCTGAAAAGTGACAACACTACACTAGTTCACACTACAATCAGTGTTGTTGAATCATTGTCTCGCTGCACCAGAAGTGACACAAAGCGCAACTCACGAAACTTATGACACAAAGCATGCCTCACTTTCAAACTCATTTTCAAACTCTCATAAATTATTTTCAAAATTTTACATTAAAATCTCGCGACCCCAAGATTTCGCTAAGTGACCCCAAATGGGGTCGCGACCCATAGTTTAAGAAGCCCTGCTCTAGCAGATCCTTCAATGGCACATCATCATCGTCGTCAAATGAAGTGTCCTCTCCCATACATCCTGAAACTAAACCAGTACGTTGGAAACAGTTTTGTATTGTGATTGATTGCTGCCATACTTCTTGAAGTCTTTCAGTGAAACATACTTCATTTAGAGCATTTATTGATAAATATTATAAAGTCTCTGTAAATCCGCACGAAAAATATATAAATTTTCGGTTTAGCGGTAGACCATCACACAGCAGAAACCGAACCGAAACCGAAAATTTATATATTTTCGGTTTCGGTTCGGTTACCGCTAAACCGAAAATTTATATATTTTTCGTGCGGATTTACAGAGACTTTATAATATTTATATATAAACAGCAGTCATAAGAAATTTAATTAACATTTATTGATAGATTTCGCTTTGATTTCAAGCTTGGATTATATTAAGAGCTATTTCTCTTCTGTTTAAAGTCTTGAAGCTGCAAATCACGCATCGATTCATGATGGACGACTGACGTGGTATTGTCGTATTAGACTGATATTGCTGACGTTTTCAACATGAGGATAAGCTGGGCAGTTGTCTATCAAATGCAGAATCTTTCTTTCACTCTCAGTTCTCGGTCCCAACGTCGAACGTCTTCTTCAAAAATAAATGACACCATTTTCTCCTTTAAATTTAATGTTTTTTTCGATATCAAGTGATAAAATAGTTCCGTTTCATCACCATTAAAAATATCATTAGCTGAATAGCTGCTGCAGATTTTGTCATTCTAAACTCAACCAGTCAGACGTTATCTCGAGTCACCAACTTTGCTTTTCTTCTTATCTTTCCAAACGTAATGCCATCCTTCTTCTACCTGTCTAGCTTTCTCTTTGAATAAATAAACTTCTGATTTGCATTCAGCAACTTAATGGCTGCTCAGCTTTCGTTTTGAGCAAAAGTCCATTGAAAATGATGCCTGAAGAGCTCTGAATCACTGAAGCAATGCTTGGTCAATGTAATCTCGAACAGTCATACAGAATTTTTTATTTGAGACCTTTTCGTATCCAAGGAACCCAAAATTTTGTCTTTATTTTTAATATAACAATTAGAATATAATTATGTTAGTTTTCCTTTTAAAAAATAGTCTGTATATACGTTTCATTTGACGATGATGATGATGTGCCACTGTATATATTAATGCTAATGACAATTTTAAAAAGCAAAATAGAAACCGAATCATTGCCATTATTATCGCCCGGAATAAAAATCTTTTTCTTCTCAAACAACTATAAATACGAAAGTAATTATGAAAATAATTAATAAATACATACAGGAAATCCTCGTTAATTCGAACTCGGATAGTTCGAAATCCTATTAGTTCGTCATACATTTGTACTTTATACATTTGTCCCGGCCGGGGATATAGAGATTTACACGTTAAGGAATTCGGTTAGTTCGAAATACGGCTACTTCGAAATTACAAGTGAAAATTCTGTCCGAACTGTGTTAACTCGTACGTTTAGACCAGTGTTTCTCAACGGGGCGATATCGCCCCCATGTGGGCGTTTTTTCATGTTGAGGGGAGCGATTAGTAACAATTTATATTTTGGGGGGCGAAAACAATTTTCTGGGCGATATAGTAAAACTTTATATTAAAAATAATTAAATATTTTATTCGTTATATCGTACAATAATTAAACAAAAACATTATACATTATACTAGTAACTAGTCTATTCAATGCAGTACGAATTTGGCGTTAGCCTTGTCCCTCGGCATCGGAATTTTGTAGTGAAGGGGGCGATACTACGTAACGGTTTTATTGAAGGGGCGACGATTCGTTAGAGGTTGAGAAACATTGGTTTAGATCAGTGATTCTCAAACTTTTTCGATCCACCGCCCCCTTTGTTCCATAAAGTTATACCCAACGCCCCCTAACCCATTTTTTCTTGTGTGAGAAAAGGATTGGAAATATTCTTAGGAAAACTTTTCTATGAATCTCACACTTTGTGCCCTTACTGTACATTGTTCTCATCATCTGGAAACCATTAAACGCAATGTTTCCTCTTATCAGCCCCAATTTTGCCTTTGGTCACCGTTCAATACCCTGCCTCTATCATAGATCTATTCATCGCGCCAGAAGGGGGCGTTATTGCTTACTTTGAGAAACGCTGAGCTAAAATAAAAGTCAATGTGTTAGAAATATTCAAGTTGTGACCTTCAATAAAAAATAAAAAATATATAAAATGTCAACATTTTATATATATTCCGTCGAATTTTTATATATAGAATTTGTCTGCCGTCGCCCCTCTATATTTCCTTAACGCCCCCAATTCTCTTTGAGCCTTCTACTGCCCCCTGAAAGCCTCCAGCGCCCACAAGGGGGCGTTATCGCCCACTTTGAGAAACGCTGGTTTAGATCGAAGTGACTCCATGCTATAAGAGAACAATATAGAAAGAACAACTCTAATCTTGTCAATATGGCTTTGCTTTTACAGTAATATATTTTCGGGTGTCATCTTAAACTTCGACTACCCCTTTTTCCTCTTATTTCATAAAATAAGGCTGGATTTCGGAATTGCAAGATTGGGATGCAAGTAGCAGATTGAGGTATTTGTAGGGCTACTACTTTTGAACAACTTACAACTTTTTATGCCACTTTAAAAATAATTTGGGCTACATTTCGAAAAATTCTGCTTTACTTTTTATAAAATCTATCTGGCGACCTCTGAGGTTCTCATCTGACACGTTCTGTTTACCTGTAATTTATTTATTTATATTATTATTAATTATTAATTAACGAAGGTAGCGTTCTGTATACGTAGCCGTATTCCGTTTGCCTAATAAATTACATTAATTACATGGCATTTGACATATTGAAATCGCGAATATTTTGTTTCCTGAATTTTGAACTAACGAGGATTTCCTGTAACTAGTATCAAAATATATGAGGATTACGACAAACTTTTAAATAAAAAGTACTGTAAATACTCGAAAACATCGATTAAATCTTCGAAGCGAGAGACAAATGATGGCGGAACTTGCGGCTTGCTGGAGTATATGATTGGCATTTGGCAGAATGTAGATCACCTATCATAGATAAAACTTTGTGATTGGGCTATATGTTTGACATTTTTTGATGCTTATTCCTTTGTACTGTATTTATATATGTAGATAGATTTTGTTGACCAGTTTTGTTTTTTAAATTCGAATTTTAATTATTTAAAAAATAAAAAAGTAACTTAATATAAATAAAATGTGAAGTCCAGATAAATATAGCATTTGTTATTTTCATTTAAATAATTAAGGAAATAACTTTTCAAACATTTATTATACAGACTGCAACGTTTTACTTTATACAGATATCGCAATATCTAAATTTATTACGGATATTATATGACATTATTTGATCACATTTGCTTATTATAATACACAAATGTGATTAAATAGTGTCATTATACTCTTCAGCATTTTATTTTGATTACTCAATAAATGAACATTGTATAGTCCAGTTATTTAGAAATTTCCTAGCGTGATAAATTGCAATGATCAAAGAACTATTTTGTTATCAAATAATTTTGATAATCATACTCTTTAATCTGATTATTTTCCATTTATTCATTGTATTTGTTTTTACATTTCGTAATTATCTTGTTAAGTGTCTGCGTGTTATTGCCATGACAAATAATATTTGAAATCAGAGATAATTTTTTTGAAAATTCTAGTGTAAATAGAAAAGATAAATAAAATCTGGAAGGTAGAAGCTTAAAGCTGTTTTATTTTGATTTATATTTATATAAAAATAAGACAAACTTCGGTTTTATTCCGGATGTGAAATTAAAACAGGTTTAGTTATAATTAAGATAAAAGGAAGAATATAGCTTAAAATAAAGAAAGAACTGAAAATAATTATATCTGCTTTGTCTGAAATTCGAATTATTACTAATATAGCATTAAAAACACTTTTCATTTTTGTTGTTTTTTTATTTATAAAAGTTCTAGTACAACTACAATTTTGAGGAATTCTTATGAAAACTTGTGGACCTCATTAATTTAAGAAGATTAAAAGTTATATTAAAAACAAGTAAATTTAGAAAAAAATAAGCAATTATAATATTTAAACTTTATTGGTATAGAAGATGAATCAATATGCCTTTTTTAAACATAATTATTTTTTAATTATAGTACAATCATGCTTCTATAAGTTGTTATATCAGTTATGCTATTAAAAATAGGTTACAGGACATTTACACGATATTTATAAAACGAATATTTTAAAAAATAAGTACAGAATTCAAATAATTTGAGCTGAAATATAATTGATGTTATGTTATTTTAAATTACACTATACGGTTCCAAAGGAGCACAATGGAAAATACGATTGTTTCTATTGTTTCAATAGTCACGAGACGAACTCGTTTCGGAAAGTTATAAAGTATTTTCACTTGATTGACAACAATTCCCTAAAAGTAGGTGAGAAAATTTAACCGATGTATGAAGAATTATGAAGTAATATGTGTCGATTTGGTATTTTTCACAAGCAATATTGCATTGATTAGTCAATGATTCTTCGCTCGGCCTCCATTTCTGTAAAATGCTTATTCATGAAAAACAATTTGTTTCAGAAAGTGCCGTAACTAGGCAGGTGCAACGAATGCACAGGCCTGGAATAAAGGGGTCTAAAATGAGGTATCAAAAATAATTATAATTACAGTATAGTCTTATTCTCAAATTTTAAATTTTGCTGCCGTGGGGAACCAATTCCGCAACGTTTTTGATTAAAGTTAAATCATTTCTATCATATTTATTTTTAAAAATATCTTTTCTAAAAAATGAGTGCGCCAAAAATATAATCTTTGCACAAGACTCATGAAAAGCTATTAGGCAATGTTTCGGATACAAGACATGGATGATGTGCACAGTAAATGGTAACATATATTCAATGGAAATATACCAAGAAAAGAAAATTCAAGATACTCCAGGACTTGCAGCTTTTTTCCCAAAAGATTTCACTTCAGTTTATAGACTGATCACCTGAAAAAAAACGCGTGCGAATAAACACGCTTTTGCGTTTTGCTGATTTTATTCCCTTATTTATTTGTTGCATATGAACAAATTTACGCATTCGTCAATACAGCGTTAATACAGAAGAAACGGTATTGCACTATATTGTAATCAGAAATACAATACGAATAATCACGAATACAGGAATCAAGTTATGGTTTGTTTCGTTTAGTTTAGTCTTACTTTCATTACATTTCATAACATTACACGGAAAAGTATTTGTAATCGCGTCAAATTTGACCCTCCTCTGTTCCTTTTTTTTCTTTGGTGCAAATCTCGATGTTTCGAGACTTTCTGAACCTAAAAAAGTCAAAAAAGAAAAATTTCCGGAAAATATATGTAAGCTACAATATTTATATATGGGTTGGCGCCTATTTCGTTTAATATCTCAGGATGGAGTAAAGATTAAGGAACAAAATTTGACACAATAATTTGTATATAAGAGGTATTGAGACTATTAAATTTTGGAGTACGGAACTCGAGGGGTGGGAAATAGAGGAGTCATGTGTCATATCTTAGCTTGGATCGAACTTAATTAAAATGTTACTCGTTATTGTCATTTACAATAATTTAAAAAATTTATCTCTATTCTTAAAATTAAAACTTTTTTGCCTGTTTATAATAATTAATAATATACAGTACTATAAAAATTATTTTTCTAATGACATCCCATATGGATGGCGCGCCACATACAATTTTAACTTTGAGCTAGTGTCATAGAGTTTTTTAAAATTTAAATAGTTTTTATCATACTTCAACAGGATTACTCTATTTAAGCTTTTGTTATTTACTTAAATTTTATATCGTAGTTAAAAATTATTTGATTACCTAACGGCCCCTTTAAACTCTTGTTCGAAGCCGAGAAAGTTGAGCAAGAGCATCTGCTAACTTTTTTATAGTGAAAAGAGATTGAAGAATTTGAATTTTTAGACAATGTAAAAGATTTTATGTTTTATTTATTTATTTATTTTTGAGACACATATCACATGTAAACTAACATGTTTTTAAGTTAGCTGCTATGCATTCTCCGGACAGTTTAGTTACAAACAAATATAAAAAATAGAGGTAAATAAGTATCGAATTAATATAACGCAAAATTATTTTTAAAATTCCTTAAATGTCATAAAATGTATTAACTAATAAATATCAGTTTATTATAGAGAAGAGAAAAAAGTTTTAGTAACGATGATAATGTATTTTCTCTCTTAATTCAACGATAATGCAAATAGTTTAATTGGTGATTAATATTGTCATCAGTTCAAAACCAGAAATTGGGAAAAACTGATAAAAAATCTATCAGTTTTTATCACAATACTCAGCATTAGGTAGGTTGTAGCTACATATCACCTATCATTCTTATTTGCCTTTTTTTCAAAATACAAACCGGAGTAATTTTTGTAGAAATGAATAAATCATTTTGGGAATTTTCCAATGGGAAAAAGTGTTCCAAATCGGAAAAATCTCGGAAAATCGGAACATATGGCAAGTCTATCGATGATTAAATTAATGAATTAATTGCCAAATAATATTCAATTTTTATTATGTTCCATAAAAGGAGTTAGTTATTTATCTTATTAACAATAAAATTAATGAGTGGCTGACTTCAGATACGAATATTTTCATAATTAATGTTGTATGATATTTTATCACAGCTTTATTTTTATATATTCTAAAACATTTAAGATGTTGGATAATGAACTAAAAATTTAATGATTAAGTGGAAATAAACACCATTAAATAATTTTTCAAATGTTATTCTAAATATTTATATCGAATAATAATTATAAACATTTTCCATAGATTTTTACTATTAAAAGTTTTTAATGTTTATTCGAATAAGCATTAAAAAACTTTTGGAAAGAAATGTCAATCTTTTGGAAAAGTTCCTGTAAATTTGAACAAAAATATTTTATAATATTATTCGTAATAAAATCTCAATCCATGTTTAATGATTTAGTGATGTAAAATTCCCAAATTGAACTGAGTTTTTTTATTCAGTTCAAGTATTTGATTATTATATTTATTTTTAATTATAAAAATATATTTTAAACTATTGAGATTTTTATCAAAATTTATTTTATGATAAATATAATATATATGCAATAGTTATTATTAAATTGTATTTAAATAGGCCTATACGAGCTTATCATATAAATGAGATTCTGTTATACTAAATCAGAAAAGTATATACAATTCAGACCATTTATTTATTACATATCCGAAAATGCATTTCGGTCTTTTGGAAGTTGGATAAAAATCTAAAATACAGGAAATTATTTTGAGACAATACAGAACTGTAGCATCAATATGCATACAAACACGTTTAAAAAATTGACAAAACAGTTAAAATATGGCATTTACAACTATTAAAAGAACATTAGAATTTGGCGAAAATTACATTTAACCAGACTAAACCATGTACAAACAATGTACAAAACATTAATACATGTACAAACAATGACAACTTTTCTAGGCGTTAGATGTACTGTACAGTACACGATAAAATAAATACCACATCATCTAAAATAATCTTTCCGTTATATGTACTGTACATTATAATCTTGAATTGTACAATATTCTTGAACTTTATTCTAGTGTTCACGTATACATAATGATAACGTCAAAGGTGCTATTTGGGTGGGGTAGACCTTTACCAATCATAAATCAACTTTACGAAATAAAATCATAATATAACTATTATTGAACCTAATATTTTACCTCGTTCAACTATTGAATCCACTTAATAATTTAAACAACTTCCTTGTATAATAATATAATCCATGCACACCATGATGCCATAATTCATTTTTAGTTGAATAACCTAAAATTGTTAAAACAACAACAACAAGATAAATAACTATTTAGAAAAGTTAATTTCTGGTTAAAAATATTACTTTAGAAACTATTACATATGCAATTAAAAAGATACAAACATTCATAATCTACCTCGTATACATTAAAATCTTACAGATTTAGAAAATAAAATTTTAAAATGATTCAGTTTTAAGTGGTTCAAAACCTCTATTACTGTACACTGTTCTGCATCAAAATCCTCTCGTAAAAGAAAATGTGACTTCTTTATGTATTTTAGTGTACCGAATATAAATTTGAAGTCCAAATCTTCTATAATCCACAGTCTTTTTTTTAAATAAAGTTTTTTGCAGAAAAATGTCATTTTTAAACAAACTTTCTGTTGCCGTTATTTGAATTAAATATTAAACCATCACGTCTTTAGCAGTGTAAGCTTTTATACAAAAAATTTAAGGTGTCCTGTTACAGAAAAAAGAATCAGGAAATTAAAATTTTTTTCGATGGAGGACAATCTTGTTTTTGCAACGATATACCGCATTTGTTGGAGGAGCTTCAGCTGCCACGGGATCCTCAGGAGTGAAGACTCTTTATCAACTCATTAAAGTTCAGACTGAAAAGACTTTGCTACACAGTGGTAACAAACATCCATTGAATGAAATAAACTTGCAAAAACATGAATATAATGCTGGACAAGAAAAAATATAATGAACATAAGTGGAATGTGTGTGCTGACTTCAAAGTTGTTGCAATGCTAACAGGTTTTCAAGGAGTATACACTAAATTTTGTTGCTTGTTATGTGAATGGGACAGTCGAGCATAAACCAGTCACTACTTGAAAAAAGTGTTCCGATCGCGCAACAAACGTATCAAATTGATGAAATACAAGGTCATAAGAATATTGCTTTTCCTGCTCTGGTGGTAGAAAACTAAAATCCTCTTACCTCCTCTTCATATCAAGCTCAATTTGATGAAATACTTCGTAAAAGGTATCGACAGAGAATGGGAAAGCTTTGCTTACTTGAAACAAGTTTTCTCATCAGAGAGAAAGTAAAGGAAGGAATTTTTGTTGGTCCTCCAAGTAAGACTGCTTTTGAATCCTAGTTTCAAGGAAAAACTTAACGCAGAGGAAAGGACAGAATTGGACGCATTCGAAAACGTGAGCAAGAAATTTTTGGGAATGTACGAGCTCACAATTATGAGGAAATCGCGGAGAAGTTGGTAACGTCCTATCAAACACTGGATTGCATATTTTACTCAAGATGCATTTCCTACGTTTCCATTTATATTTTCTTCCGCCAACCTAGAAGCTGGTTGAACATGGAAAAAGTTCAATCAGACTCTTTCTCAAATGAAAAAGATGTATAGTGGAAGATGGAAAGAGAACATGTCAGTGGATTACCGCTGGTTTCTACAGCGAGAGACTTCGGAAGAAGAATATATATAAAATGTCAAAAAAAACATGTTTCTATNTTTCAAACTTTTTTACATTCTTAAATTCACATTGCTTTATAATATTATTATTAATGTTTGATAACATTACTAACTATTTCCAATTTTCTGGTTGTTTTTTTTATATACCGTTATACACAAATACTATCATCTCTTAATTCTGCATGAGATTTGATGTCCAAAACGTACATAAGAAATTTTCTGATATATAATTATATTAAAATGTATTTAAAAACTGAGGAAAAAATAATCACGTTTTAAAAGTTAATCTTTATATATTGTGAAACATTGTGATTCTTGTATTAAAATAAAAATAATTTTCAATTGAAAAGAAATAACAAATCTCTAAATACTTTCATTTAGAGCTGATAACTTCATGCAATTTTTTATTGCATTACTTTTTGAATATCATTTTAACTATTAAAGAAAATAAGTCCTTTCAGATAAGTCAACTAAATAAAGATGGAATATCGCCAAGTGTTGAAATTGTAACACATCTTGTGTTAAGTGAGTAAAAAACATTTACATTTATTTTAAGTTATGATGTCTTTGGATAATTTAACGATATATTTTATTGCATAATTCTATGCTTACGAAATTTTTGAAGACTATTTCTTACTCGAAAGCTGAAAATTTAGCAAAAATATCTTTAGACTTTTAATAAGTTTAGCAAATTACTTTTCCTAATTAGAATGATATACAGATATCGATCTAATTGGAAATGTGTATTATGTCTTTACCATTTAATAATGTCTAGTATTATACAATAAAGACAAAATAACGTAGTCTATGTAGCAGCGTTATTGTGACGTAAAGGCGTTATACATTGACAAACATAACTTACTGGATATTTACCAGTCAGACAACTTTAATTACTACTTATAAAGTTACCTCACAAGCTGATAAGTTCTTTTATTTTGCCATTAATCACTGTCTACTTGTTATCAGCAATCTTAATCGTACGTTTTATTTTCGATGACTACAACAAATGTCTTAAGAATTTTATAAAGTAACTTTAAAAACATTCAAAATTTATAACGTCGTAATCATTATATTTAAACATTTTTATCTGCATATTACATACCGACAATTCTCAAACGTTAAAATTTTCAAAAAGTTTTAAGTTTAAAATTACAAGAAAAAATGTATGATTACATTATTCAGCTATGCTTTTAGATTCTTATATGAATAATAGAAGAGTATTTATAACATTCAAAATAGTTTAGACTTATAATTCTTCTATATAGAATAAATACAGGCTATATATAGTAACAAGTTGTAAAATTGTATATAGTATAAAATATTACATATAGGCTATATATATATGTATATGTATATATATATACATATACATATATATATAGCCTATATGTAATATTTTATACTATATACAATTTTACAACTTGTTACTATATATAGCCTGTATTTATTCTATATAGAAGAATTATAAGTCTAAACTATTTTGAATGTTATAAATACTCTTCTATTATTCATATAAGAATCTAAAAGCATAGCTGAATAATGTAATCATACATTTTTTCTTGTAATTTTAAACTTAAAACTTTTTGAAAATTTTAACGTTTGAGAATTGTCGGTATGTAATATGCAGATAAAAATGTTTAAATATAATGATTACGACGTTATAAATTTTGAATGTTTTTAAAGTTACTTTATAAAATTCTTAAGACATTTGTTGTAGTCATCGAAAATAAAACGTACGATTAAGATTGCTGATAACAAGTAGACAGTGATTAATGGCAAAATAAAAGAACTTATCAGCTTGTGAGGTAACTTTATAAGTAGTAATTAAAGTTGTCTGACTGGTAAATATCCAGTAAGTTATGTTTGTCAATGTATAACGCCTTTACGTCACAATAACGCTGCTACATAGACTACGTTATTTTGTCTTTATTGTATAATACTAGACATTATTAAATGGTAAAGACATAATACACATTTCCAATTAGATCGATATCTGTATATCATTCTAATTAGGAAAAGTAATTTGCTAAACTTATTAAAAGTCTAAAGATATTTTTGCTAAATTTTCAGCTTTCGAGTAAGA